ATGTTAATGCAACTTGATAATGATACTGACTCTAGTGTTTGCAAATTCTGATAATGTCCAGAAAGTATGTAATAGAATGAAGTAGAAATAGCCAAGCAAATGTTAAATCATATAAGTTTATAAGAATCTTATTTTTGAAGGTGATACTGTTACTGTAGCAAAATAGTTTGGATGTTCGTAGCTTGATATACTCAATATAGAGAATCAGTGAAATTCTGCCTCATTTTGGGGGGCATAAATATATGATTGAGAGAGTCGCTTGTTTGTTCTTGTAGATTGGCTATATGTTGATAGTCACTATAAGCAGTTTGTACTTATTTTCCTCTTTCTACATCTTATATTTTGTGGTTAGAATGATGTAAGTCACTAGTATAATATGTTTTATAAAATACATTCTTAGTCACAGGGATCTGAACTAATTTAAGAGTTGCAAATTTAAAACACTGATAGTAGTATATTCATACCAAGCCTAAATAAGTTTGAAATAAGACGCACATAATCTTTTTGACTGAAGAAACTAATATTTGAGATTTTAGAACATGAAAAATTTTGAAACATTTCTGCTCTCAGCAGAGTGTTGTATTACACACTCAGAAGAGTCTTCCTTCTACAAAACAACCAGATCTTGGATAGAAATACATTACTGAGTCTCACAAAATAAGGGAAATCTCCAGTGACCCAAACAAGCAAACAGTAAATCTATGAGTTGAAATTGGAGCAGGAAGCAGTGAAGAATAAGATAACCTGAAAGCTGTTTGTCTGAGGAACAAATGCCCATACCAACCCTTGGATCAAAGGCTATTATGAGAGTGTATCACAGTGTGCAGGCCAAACCAAGCTTCCTTTCAAGTGAGGGCCTTTGAGTAGTTACCAGTATCTCTTGGGTCATACCAGAAGCAAACATAAATCCTCTGTAACTTAACGCTTTTCACATTTAGGCCCTTAGATTCCCCCGGAGGAAGTTCAGGAAAAGAAATACTCATAATCAGAGTTCACAAAACATAACAAGGCAAAAGGGTTGAGCATCAGCATAGAGACAAAGAACACTGAGTATTGCATTAATCATTTACAGAAAATAAAACTAGGTGTAGCATGTAAAAAATTTAAAAACGAAATCACAAAAGTAATCTACCAACAATAATTAGCAGGTTGAAAATAAAACCTGTAATTCAGAATTAAAAACTTAGCAAATAATTTAAACAAATGACTAGATACAACTGAAGAATAAATCAGTAGTCAGAAAATCGTATCAGAGAGAGAGAAAGAGAGATTGATTTAGACTAAAAGAGAGAGTCAAAGAAAGATGTTGACCTAGAGTTTGGAATGAGAAGCTCTAACATATGTCTGTTAAGACTTCCAGAATTTGTGACTAAAGAAAAAATGAGATACATAAAGAGATATTTCTATAAATAGTCCAAATGCATGATTCTACAGATTTTTTTTAAAAAAAGCACAAAGTGTACTAGGACAGACACCCTCCCCACTCCCACACACAAAGTTAGATACTTTAGTAAAACTCCAGAACATCAAGACAGAGGAGATCTTTCAAGCCACCAGACAAAACATTAAAAAATTGTACTCCTGCAGATTTCTTACCAGCCACGGTGAAAGCCAACACAGTGAAATAATATTTTCAATACTGAAAGAAAACTGTTAAATGAGGCTTGTATTAAGAAGAAAATCATCTTTCAAATATGATGGGCTTATTAATCTTTACCTGTTAAATAAACGCTGAGCAAATTTACCAAAGAACCTTCATTATCTCATAGATAGGAAAATGACCCTATGAAGAAACTGTGAGATGCAAATAGGGAGGGTCACAACAAATATTGCTAAACATAAAAAAATATAAAAAGTGTCACATGCATGAATTAACAGTTATAGTACTGAAATAATGTCAAATTTATAGACGATAAATGAAACAGGAAGAGTTAGATAACAGTGCGATGCAAATGAAGTTACTATGGTAGAAGTAAAACATCTTAAAATCCGGATTTTTCTGGGAAGAAGGTGTGATATTGATTATTTCTAGATTTCATTAATTTGATCCCATGTTTAAAGATAATTATTTAAAAAAAAAAAAACTGTAGGCTGAGTATGATGGCTATAATCCCAACACTTCAGGAGGCTGAGGTGGGAGGATTACTTGAGCCTGAGAGTTTGAGGCCAGCCTGGGCAATGTGTGAAATCCTGGCTCTACAATAAACACAAAACTTAGCTGAACATGGTGTTGCTTGCATGTAGTAGCAGCTACTCAGGAGGCTGAGTTTGGAGGATGGATTGATCTTAAGAAGTTGAGGCTACACTGAGCCAAGATCAGATCCCTGCACTCGAGCCTGGGTAACAAAGCAAGACCATATTTAAAATAAATAAATAAATAATAAAGAAAGAAAATATAATTAGCATATGTAACATCCAAATAGTGATGAAAATGGACTAGGAAAAAACTGACAACTGAACAAAAACTAAATCATCTTTTAAAAAGGAGCTGCAAGGAAAGACAAAAAGTAATTGTAGAAAAAGTGAGAAAAAGAAGAAATCAAATAGTGAAAATAGGTCCAAATATATCAGTCATCCAATGGCTAAAAAAAAGTTCATGGACTAAGTCAATTAAACTATGTTTATCATATAGTATAAGTACAAACCAATAGCAAACCACCCCCAGAGCAAAATCCAAGTAAGTGGAATTTACAAATAAGGTAAGGCCATTGAGAAATAAAATAATAGAAAATATTATCACAAAGTTATGAACTAAAATTATTCTGGTGTCATTGCAGAAATAAGAATGAAATTTAAAGTAAAAGAAAAGCATCTTTAAAGTCAGTGGAATCTCAACATAAAGAGAAACCAACTTGAGATGTATTTGTATGTGACAAATTAGCCTCAAAATATGTAATATTAGTATAAAAACGATGAATCGTACGTAGCATATAAGTAATAAATCTCCAACCTAGTAAAAATTTCAAAATGTCTTTTACTTTTGTTTGATAGAATAAAAGGAAAAGAAGAGTAGGAAAACGAAAAGATTTGAGCAATATTAGCATCCAAACTGTAACCTGAACCAAGATTACTCTAAGATATGTCAGTTGTTGAAAGTGCTGACATAATAAAATCTAAACAGATTTCAAAGAATAGAAACCATACCAATTATTCTCAACCCTCTGAACGCTTATGTTAGAAATAAATAACAATAAAACAAATTTAACATTACCATTATTAATTTAGTTAGCAAGACTTTTATTGTACTTGTACTATGCACTGGTCATGTTTCTACCATGAAGATAACACAGTCAACAAGGCAGAACAAAGCAAAATCTCTCATGGAGGCAGGACATACAATGAAAAAGATAAATAAGAAAAATTTCTAATAAGACAGATAGCAAAAAGTGCTAGAGAGAAATATTCTGTGAGGATGAAAACTAAGAAATGAACATGGGATGAAGTGGTACAAGCTGCAATATTAGACAAGGTGGGGCAGGAAGTCCCCGCTAAGAAAGGGACTTCAGATGTGAGACTAGATGGAAGTGAGCTGTGTGGCTCTTTGAAGAGCATTCCAGGCATTGGAAACAAGTACAAGTGTCTTAAGGCAAGTGTCGCCTGGTATGTTTCAAAAATAGTAAGGTCCTGGTGTCAATTAAGCGGAATAAGTAAAGGGGATTCAAGTCGGGTGACTGGGCAAGGGGAGAATGTGTGCAGGCTTTGTAAGCCACTGCAAAGTCTTTGGGTTTGTGTTGAGTAATACAGGAATCATGATCCTATTTAACTCTTTTAAAGATCATTGTGGCTGTGGTTTTGAGTGTATCAATAGATTATCATGCAAAGACAGAAATGAAATTGATGCCAGTTAGAAGTTGCCTGCATTGTTCTCTCAAGAGGCCAATCTTTCCAAGCCATTCTGCAATGCCACCTCTTCCGTTTATCCACTCTTCAAATGTGTGAATTGTCGGTGAGCTTTCTATTAGGTTCCACTGTTGAATTTATCTGACTTTGTGTTACACTGTACCATATCGTCCAAATTAGCAGAGCTGCTATGGTCATTATTTAATGAGGTCAGTGCTTGCCAAATCACTATCTAGGCTTCTTCTTAGAATGTGTCCTGTGTATTCTGAAATCTTTCTTTAGGCCTAATGCTGATTGCTTATTCTAAGCCAATAATTTACTTTTCAACCACATTGTCTTTACCATTTAATCGTATATTTGACAATACGATTAGACACCTATCATATATGTTTACATGAGCTATATTTGGGGTTGTAGCACTGAACCATGATGTTATGGCTCCTCACTTAGGCAAGCTTATAGTCTTATTCTGGATTTCTTTTTCCATCCTCAAACGTACCAAGCAATATTTCTCTTTATTATTATTTTTTAATTGCAGAGTTCAAAACTCAAGAAGAAAATATGACCATCTTCCCTCAGACTTTGAGAGAGATAAACTGAGACTGATCCTAAGGGGTTTGCATCTAATATAACTAATTTCCAGCCAATTACCAATGTGTGTTTAAAGCATGGAAGGTGTGCACATCTGTATGCTCTATTTCACATTGGTGAAAGTCTGGAAAGTTGGTAAAAAAATCTGTTAAAGCAAAATTAGAAAGCGTGCTCCTTGGGGTAAGTAGAAGTGCTGCTATCATATAATACACATGATTTTAAGAAGTTCCTGTGTTGTAAATAATCACCATTCTGAAATGATGGCTAAATTATAACCTTTAGAGAATTAAATCTTTAGGTAACAGAATTATCAACTGCTATCATGTAGCTAACTCTTGCATAGATGATAGTAGGATAGGGAATATTTTGATCAGGTAAAGTAAGATGTTTAGAGGATTAAGTAATTTATCAGTTACCTTCCAAAATGACAACTCACCAACTGAGAAAAAAATTTATAATGAAGTAGGATCAGGAAAATGTCTAGAAATTATTCCCTTTGAATCCAGGTAACAAATAAAATGTGAAAAGAGAGGATCAATAGAGATAAATGATGAATCAGGACTCCCACTTTATTTTTTTTAATTTTGTGAATATATTGTAGATCTATGTATCTATGTGGTACAAGAGAAGTTTTGACACAGGCATACTGTGAACACTCACTTTCATCTTGCCCATCTCATTCCTGCTGCTTCAACTTACACTGTGAAATTATGGAGGGTTTTGTTCTCAAAAACTTTGCCAAGGTGGACAACGCTGTACCTGCAGAGAGTAATGAAAACAAGAAGGCAAATAAATTAGAAGAGTGCAAGTGAGTTAGCAAAGACTTGTCAAGAGATACAAGGTTTTCTTAATGCTTTCTAGAGGGTAGGTACATTCACATATAGCAACAAAAGACACTGAGTTCTAATTAAGGAAAATATTAGAAGACAAGAAGTGCTATTGTGTGTGGGCTTTATATTCAACACCAGTGGGAATGACCTAACAGGAATTAAGTGACAGGAAACATAAGGGAGTTAAGTTTGAGTTATAATGGAATAAGACAATCATCAATTGGAAATTTTTGAAGCTTTCTTTTGCATCCATAAGTAGTTATAGGGCATCAGCAGACCCAGTTCCCAATGACCACCGCCAAAGCAAATTCTTCATATATAACTGAAACAACATACTTTACAAAAATGTGTAAAGAGGATAGAACAAGTGAGCAGAAGGAAGCGATTTTAATACTCTCTGGTTGAGAACAACTTCTGTTTTAGTGCCAAGGTTTGTGAGGCTTACATAAAATAAAAATCTATTCAACTTTTAAAATAAGATCCCTGTCTAAGTTACCTACATATATATAAAAGGTCCTAGGTGCCATAGAACTTGATGTTTGACCAGTAGTAAAATTTGCTCTTTCAGGAAAAAAAAAAGTAAATATTTATTTTTATTTTTCTTCTTCTTTTTTCTCTTTTTCCCCTCTTTCATTTATCAGACAGAGTTAGAGCACAGGTCAAGCACACAAAGGACATAAGGAACTTAAATGGAACAAGTAATGTCTAGCATCAGAACACATGGTTAAGTCTGTGATGTTTTCATTCTCCCTTTTAAATTTTAAATACAACCCCAATTTGTAAAAAGAAAAATGCTTCAGAAAGTTTACATACCTGAGTCTTCATTCTCCCTTGTTTTTATTGTTTTCTAAATGAGATCATCTTTTAAGTGACTCTAGGGGGTTAGTTATAAAAGTGCTTACGTACCTTTATGAGGGAATAAATCAAGAACGTTTAACATCATAATTGTCCAGAAGGCTGATGTCTACCACATTTATTACATTGTTAAGGCAATGCTGAATTTCTCAATCCGATGTTGATTATTATTTTCCATGTCTTTATCAATTGAAAACAATTGCTATTGCTTTTCAGGTAGATTTATTGCTAAATAAATGAAATATCTTCCTGAGGTTTTAAGCTAATGTGTTCCTTCTTTGAACTGTTTATGAAACAGAATGGTAGCTAATAGATACGATGTTTCCTCTAAACAATTTTATTTACCACAGAACAACTGAAATATCCACAAGACAGCTTTACTTTTAGTACTTCGTCTGGTTTCCCTGAATAAATTGTGTGTAGTAGTATTGTCCAAACTAACGGAAATACTATTCTGCTTGTGCAAAAATAATTTTGTATTAATGTTCATGTATACATTTGATAGAAAACATTGGAATGCTTCTTCTATTAATCATATTTAAATTTTCCACATATTCTCATGTAACTCCAATATTTAAAAACAAAGACAGTTTGCAAGTTTCACATATCTTTCAGTATAAAGTTAAGCTTATACAGCTGTCTTCATTCAGCCTGGAAAATATTATGATTTTTTAAATTAATCATTCTCATAGCAATTTATGTGGGGTATATGACCTTGGTAAGCTAAGATAATATAAAATTGCCACAAAATGGCAAATGAATTACAGTATGAAAGGTCATTTGTAGAATTTCTGACGGTTTAGAACATTAGAAGGTCAAAAATCAATGGCACATTGTCCTATGCTGGAAAACATCTTGATCTAATTAAGGCATTGTGTAGGCTTTTCAATCCAAAATAATTGTACTGTGTAAAATCAGACCTTCAGATGTGTAGCTACCATTTTAGTAAGAAATGAATCAAAAATTAGAAAGAGGTTGCATTTACCTCTTTGTTTTCTTACAGCAAAGGTAACTTTCAAATACAGACATTTTCTTCTTGTATTTAACACTTTAATGTTATATTTGTACAATTGATGTATATTTTTATTAAGGAAATGCCTGTCAAAATGAATAACATCATACACATATAACAATTTTAATTTCAAGGATCATTTATCCTTGAGATTTGGGTTTTTATTATCTTGCATTTAATGCAAATTTAAAATAGTGTCTGAGAGGGATCACTTTGATTAGTATAACCACTTATATTCCCCCACATATCTTTATTTTAGGATTAGTAGCTGTCTTATTTCAAGTATATAAAATCCAAGCACTTTGAAAGGTCGAGGCAGGCAGATCACCTGAGGTCAAGAGTTCAAGACCAGCCTGGCCAACATGGTGAAACCCTGACTCTACTAAAAACACAAAAGATTAGCTGGGTGTGGCCATGGGTGCCTGTAATATAAGCTACTCGGGAGGGTGAGGCAGGAGAACCACTTGAACCTGGGAGGCAGAGGTTGCAGTGAGCTGAGATCATGCCATTGTACTCCAGCCTGGGCAACAAGAAAAAAACTTATTCTTAAATAATAATAATAATGATAATAATTTTTTTATCTTCATCTTTTTATCCAGGAAGCAAAAGAATTTTAGAATAAAAAACCATCAATGGATAATCAATTTAATAATGTTAACTATATATTTGTAAGTAAAAATCAGGAGCAAATTTTGTAAGAGATTGTATAATGAAAAGTGTTAGAAATTGGAGCAAATAACCATGACTTTTAATTCTAATTCTGCCATAGTCCAGCATTGTGGGAACAGCTAATTATTCTTTGAATTTATATTTTTTAAGTCTGTAAGAATTAAAAGATAGCCTCATTAAAAACTCACATATTTTTGTAGGAAATAAATGAAATGTGTATGCATACATACTAATGAACCACAAATGCCATGTATATCTATGTTAGTATATGGACCAAAAGATAAGCAGTCTTGATTATTTAGAAATTAGATAGATATAATTTTACTCTGAGAACTACATCATCAAACCAGCATATCACAGCAGACCTCAGCAAAGTCACCAGTCACAACGACTCCTTTTAAACAAGAGAAAAACCAAGTAAAAAATAATAACGTAAAATAATTAAAAATAACATGGTAAGAAAAACAATCTAAAAGGATATTAATAGTAAAAGACATTTTTAAAATCCACTTATCAACTGTAAAACACCTATATGACTCCAGGTTGATAGTTTACCATTACCTTTAAATTCAATTAGTATTTAATTAAAAATGATTTTGCTTTCATACACCTTGGCAGGGTTTCTTGGGAGGAAGAGGGCTATTTCAAATATTTTTAAGTCTGAATTCTCAATTCTGCTTGTGGTGCTTTAACCATCCTTCTTTATCACTAAAAATCCCTTCTTTAGTTTCTCTACCTTCCATAGGTTTTTCGGGAACAGGTGGTGTCGGGTTACTTGAGTAAGTTCTTTAGTGGTGACTTATGAGACTTTGGTGTACCCATCACCTGAGTAATATACACTAGACCCAATTTGTAGTCTTTACCCTTCACTCCCCTCCCATCCTTTCTCCCAAATTCCCACAGTTCATTGTATCCTTCTTATGCTTTACATCCTCAAAGCTTAGGTCTCACATATCAGTGAGAACGCATGATGTTTGGTTTTCCATTCCTGAGTTACTTCACCTAGAAACTGGCCTCCAGTTTCATCCAGGTTGTTGCGAATGCCATCATTCCATTTTATTGCCAAATAGTGTGCTATTGCATATGTATACACCACAGTTTCTTTATCCACTCATTCACTAATGGACATTTGGGGTGGTTCCATATTTTTGCAATTGCGATTTGTGCTGTTATAAACATGCACGTGCAAGTATCTTTTTTGTATAATGACTTCTTTTCCTCTGGGTACATACCCAGTAGTGGATTGCTGGGCTTAAAAGAACTAAATGTAGAACCACCATTTGATCCAGCAATCCCACTTTTGCCCATTTTAAACAAATTGACTTTTTAATATAGAGTTGCCTGAGCTTCTTGCAAATTCTGTTTATACCTTTGTCAGATGAGCAGTTTGCAAGTATTTTCCCTCATTCTGTGGGTTGTCTCTTTGCTTTGTTGATTTTATCCTTTGCTGTGCAAGAGCATTTGAATTTTGCACAGACTAAGTCCTGGAGAGTTCCCTCAATGTTTTCTTGTTGTAGTTTCAGAGTTTGAGGTTTTAGACTTAAATCTTTAATGTACTTTGATTTGATGTTTTGAATATGGCAAGTGATAGGGGTATAGTTTCATTCTTCTGCCTATGGCTATCCAGTTTTTTCAGCACCATTTATTGAAGGAACTGTCCTTTCCCCAACCTGTGTTTTTGGCACCTTTATCAAACATTCATTCACTGTAGATGCAGGGATTTATTTCCAGATTCTCTATTCTGTTCCACTGTTCTTTGTGTCTGTTTTTATGCCAGTACCATGCCATTTTGGTAAGTACAGCTCTGTAGTATAATTTCAAGTCAGACAATGTGATTCCTCCAGTTTTGTTCTTTTTGCTTAGGACAGCTCTGGTTATTTTGGGACTTTGTGGTTCTATACAAATTTTAGAATTTTTTTTCTGTTGCTGTGAAGAATGTCATTGGGATTTTAATAGGGAGTGCACTGACTGTAGATTGCTTAAGGTAGTATGGACATTTTATCAAAAATATTGATTATTCAAGTCCATGAACATGAAAATTTTTAATTTTTATTTTTTGGTGTCCTCTTTGGTTTTTTGCATTAATATTTTATAGTTTTTATTGTAGAGATCTTTCTTTGATTTAATTCACTCCTAAGAATTTTATTTTATCTGTATCTATTGTAAAAGGTAATGCTCTTCTCTTTATTTCATTTCCATATTCTTTAATGCTGGCAGATATAAATGCTACTGAGTTTTGTATATTGATTTTGCATCCTGCAACTTGACTGAATTTCTTTATATGTTCTAATTCTTTTTGGGGGGGAGAGTTTTTAGGTTTCTTAAATGTAAGATCATATCACCTGCAAACACATATACTATGAATCCTTTTTTTTTTTTTTCCAATTTGGATA